TAGGGCTCCTATTCTTTAGGGAAGCACTTGCTTATTGGAAAGTAAAAGTAATCCTCAAGAATTAATACAAAGAAAGCACTGAACAATTGCAGGATAAATTCCCAGCTGGTACTTGTCTGTCCTAAAGACATAAATGGGAAATAGCCTTGCTGATTAAGGGATTAAATTAATTGACTTCACATGATAGACCATGAGCTACAGATAGGGTTGCAAGGGAGGAAAGTCTGAATAGGTGAGCTATATGCTCAGACAGACATGACAGAGTGTGTGCACCTAAGCCTAGGATCTGAGTGAGGAAGAAACCATTTAAAGTGTTTAAGTCTAATTCTCCACACTGATAGCTTTTTTTCTCTTTTAAAAATCTAAATGATCCTAGAAGGCTGTAACCCACAAATGGTCATGCCACACTGTGTACAGTCACTGGTCATCAGCATAGTAGTTGTTTCCTCTGAGTGACAAGCTACTTGCTGGCATCCATTGTGTGGGGCGGCGAGTTCTCCTGAAGTGTTAAATGACACAAGGAGTTTACTGAGCTCTGAATATGAGTTCATTTTAGTTGTTTTTCTTTGTCACTGTTCATATGCTCCTATTTTCTCTGCTATATTACACATTCATTTATGAAGTCCAAAGCAATAGGAATGGTTACTTTCATTTTTAAAATTTTTATTATTAATTAGTTGTATGAGGTTATAATTCCATTAAGTAAGGTTATGAGTACAATGTATCTTGATCATTGTTCCTCTTTCCAATCTTCTTTCATTTTTCATTCATTCTGTTTTATTTTACTAAACCATAGGACCATAGAATGACCCCAGAGACTGTAGTGTGTTCTTTTTATTAACAAAAAGTCAAAATGTGAATTTATTGTGTACTAGTCCATGGAAAAACCTGGACTCTAACTTCTTAGAGACTTCCACATTCACAGTAATAATTTCAGCAAGCGCTAACCATTCTCCTTTGCTAGTTTTACTCTATCAAAGATCTTTTCATGTATGAAATGATTTGTATTTGAGATGGCAGACAAACCGTATACACTTGCCTCAATTTACTTAACCTTCACAGAAATTTAATTATAGATATTTTTCAATTCATTCATACAAGGAGGTTGTTAGATATGAAACCATTTTCACACTTAAGGAGCAATTGGGATTTGGCCTATCTGACTAAAATACATGCTCTTTCCATGTAAAAAACAACACCCGTCTTCCCTGATAGGGAAACCTTGGTTCCTGTTTCTAAGACTTTATAGAAGTTTTTACACACAAAAAGAGTTTTGACACTACTTTAAAAATATCAAAAACGAGTGACTTACCTCCCCCCCCCCCCCCCCCGCCCCATCTCTGGGTTTGGCTCTCAAAGAATGGCCTATCCTTCCTTACTGCCTCCTTTTGATTGATGCTGTTTCATAGAAGTGTAGAATGTTCTTTCACAGCATATTTTGTATGAATAGTTTTAAACTATTTTGCTATTATTTTATTTAGAATTTTTCTGATATTAGATGATAAAAGATGATGGTAGATGAAAAATACTGTTTTAATAATATCCATCATTCAAAATTCTTCATAGCTGAATGTTAGCTTATTGTAGAGCAGTTTTAAGGGAATTAAGGTATTATACATAAATGCCCAGACTGGGAATGTGGCTTAGTGGTAGAATGCTGGGTTCCATTCCTCAGTACCACATAAACAGAACAAAAACTAAAGTGGCACTGTGGCTCAAAGTGGTAGAGCCTGGAGGAAAAGAAGCTCAGGGACAATGCCCAGGCCCTGAGTTCAAGCCCCAGGACTGGCTAAATAAATAAATAAATACATCACCCCTTATTTATGGCTTGTGCTTTTTCAAAGGTAATCAAGATATGAATTTATCATGTATTACTCCATGGAAAACTTGGACTCTAAAGTCTTAGAGACTTCCTCATTCACAGTAATACTTTCTCTTAGCATCCATTAATCATTTTCCATTGCTAGTTGTTCTTTAGATCTTTAGATCTTGACATTACCACCTGACTGTTCAGTTTTCAGAATCCACTTTCTGATGCCCAACACTATTCTTTCCATCTTACTTTTATTCGTCCCCTAACCCCCAACAACTATTTTATACTTAAGAATTGCCCACGTGTCATCTTTATGGATCTCTCTCACCTTTTTTCATCTTCTTTCCTTTCTTAATTATATCTCCTAGTTATATTTGATCAGAAAAGTAGTTATTTAATAACACTCAACACCTTGTTGCTATAACTCAGAAAGCCATGTGTAAAGTGAAATCAGCACCTAGAGTTCCTGAGCTGTTCCTAATGGCTGGAAGTAAACAGGAATATGCTAATTAATCTTGCCAGCGGTGGAAGCTAGCTTAGTGGGCATATGAGGACAACTTGTTAAAACAAAAACAAAAACAAACAAAAAAAAACACCATAGTATCATGAATAAAATCCCCACAGTCAGAAAGAACCAGGCCACTTGCTAGATAGTACCTTATATTAGAAAGAGAATGATCTTTTGAGTTTACAGCTTTTAAAAGAATATGGACATAGTCAGGCGCCTGTGGCTTACAACTGTAATCCTAGCTACTCAGGAGGATGAGAACTGAGGATCTCAGTCTGTCCAGTCGGGAAAATCCATGAGACTCTTATTTCCAATAAGCCATCAGAAAACTGGAAGTGGCACTGGAGCTCAAGTGGTAGAGCACTAGCCTTGAGCTGAAGAGTTGAGGGACAGTGCCCAGGCCCAGAGTTCAAGCCCCACGACCAACAAAGGATATGGACATATAAAAGAAGTGTGGAAAAATATTCCTAAAACACACCAAAAGACTTTTATTATGTTTAAACTTTAATGGTATCACAGGAAGTTAGTTCATATTCAAGTAATACTTAGCACTGTCAAGGTATTTCTAGATAATTCATCTTTTTCTGAATACTGGTTGAAATATTTTTCCTGCCTTTAATTGTCAAACCCATACCACTTTCATATTTAGCCAGCTATCTTCTCAATTAATTCCTATAGATGCATTCAGATATGAATTATTGTCTCTTACTAGTCAAATTCACACAATACAAATTTATTTCCCTTATTTTTATTATACCTTTCTATTTTTCAATTGGCTATATTCCACATTTATCTGTTTTGGTTCATATCTTTGTCTCAATCTGATTTAAGGGAAGTCACTTCAATTTTTACACATTTAGCATGATATTGGCTATGTATTTGTCATATATATTCTGTATTATCCACTTTTTACTCTTAAATTTTTATTTGTCCATTTTTGTTTGCTTTACTATTATGTTCTATTCTATAATTTTCCAGAGATTTTTTATCATGAAAGTGTGTTGAATTTTGTCAGAGGCTTTTTGTGTATCAATTGAGATGATAATGTGATTTATTTGTTCTTGGTCCTATTTATGTGATGTATTATATTTAGTGATTTATGTATATTGGATCATCCTTTAATCCTTGAAATGAAACCAACTTGATCATGGTATGTCATCTTCTTAATATACTTAGTATACTGTCATCTTCTTAATATGCATCTTCTTAATATTCAGTTTGAAATAATGTTATTGAGAATTTTTGCACCAATGTTTATCAGAGTGATTAGTCTATAATCATAAAGCCAACCATTTTTGTAGCTTTTCTTGATTCACCATGATCTTATGATGATGTCAGGAAAAAATACTAATGTATCTATTGATATAATGGACAGTTTCATTGTCTTGGCCTCAAGATTGATTCTTCTCTGTATGCGAGCTGTTAACTGCCTTTAACTTAGGCCCTAGTCAATGCTGTTCTTTTCACAAACAAGCACAGATTCCCCACAGTGTACACCAGTGACACATGCCCTCATTACTCATCTCATGGAATAGTTCAGTGAGTTTTTCCTTTGCTTCTTTTCCACTCCTGTGTTGATTCTTTTTGTCTTAATTCTTTTCTACAATGTTGATTACTCTACTTGTAGCTTACTCATTCATTCAGGCAGGCCTTGAATGAATGTTAGTTCTTATATCCCACCCGACAATAGACAGGAATGAGGAATTAATGCAGATCTGATATAGATCGATCAATCGATAGATAGATAGATAGATTAGATATGTAGATATAGCTTATATAGAGATGTATATATACATATATATGTAGATTTATATGTAGATGTGTATATTATAATTATTTTTTGTATATAATTTATATAATTATGTTATGTATAATTATATAGTATATAAAATTATCTTTCTATATAGATATCTATGTGTAAAAAGATAGGTAATTAACTAGCACTTGAACTTAATAAGTTTGTCCTAGGTTTATTTGTCTCTATCTCCTTTCAGTTATCCCTAATTTACAGGATTTTCTTATTATTGGAATATTATATTATCATATAAGATATTATTGTATTACAGATATAAACAGATATATCTATAATATACAAATATCTATCTATCTATCTATCTATCCATCTATCTATCTATCTATCTATCTATCTATCTATCTATCTATCTATCTATCTATCTATCTATCTATCTATCTATCTATCTATCTATCTGCCTATCTATCCACAAAATACAATCTCAGTCCTACAAACCAGCAACTCAGGAAACAGAGATGAGGTAGTTGCAGGTTCAAAGTTAGCCTGGGCAAAATTTAGAGTCTTCTCCCAAGAAAAAAGTTGAGTATGGTACTAAATACTTCTAATCAGACACTGTGGAAAGTAGAAGTAGAAGGATAATATTGTAGGCTAGCCAAAGTAAAAAAACATGAGACTCTATTTGAAAAATAACTGGAACCAAAAAGCATTAGAGGATTGCTTAGAGTGCTTGCCTAGCAAAAATGAGACCCTGAGTTAATTTCTAGTGCTGCCAAATAATCTAGTACTAATCCTGCCCCACTTATATTCCCATTAAATATTTGTCTCAGTATATATATCTATATATTCTTTAATAATTGCATGAATTTGCCTCAACACATGTTCTTTTAAACTGATCATATTAGTCACTTTTTACTTTTCTTTTATAGTATAGAGAAAAAAAAGGAGTATGAGAATGAAATCCAATCTTTGCTCAGAATGAAGAAAAAGAACAGTGCATATCTCAAAGAGCTCTATGAGGAATGTTATCGCATTGGTACCATTTTTGCCATAACCAAGAAAAAAACTGAAGAAATGGAAAATATAATAGCAGAAGTGAAAAGAAAATTCAAGGTTGTGTATGTTTTTTTTTTTTCTAATGAAAAACCAGAGTAGCTGGCTTGAATTTACTGAATTAATTTTTCTTGATAGTTCTTAACTGTCTGGTATTTATTTCCCTACTCCCATGGGAGCTAAGAAAACACTAGAAAAATATTAGAAATTGTTCTCCACTTAAGAATGCTTCCCAATTGCTAAACATCTTCATCTTTCAGCATGAAGTCATGGTATGGAATTACAACCATTGACCCAGGCATATCTGACTCAGAATAGTGCTGCATTAAAAAGAAATTTCTATGCTGTCATTAGACAAGTCAAGTTCATAGTAGTTCAAGTTTGATTGCAACTTTGTGATGATCCTCTTATTTTGGGGACTGAATCACATACATCTATGTAACATTCTTGTTTATCTTGTTTTCTTTGTAGATATCTATATTTGTTGACCTTGGTATAAAATTGTTAATCCATGTTATCAAAAAATTAATTTTAGCAATATTACTCCTGAGGTAACTCTAGGAGATAACCTTTAATGCCTGAAGGGATAGAAATTTCTGACTTATGTTCAAGTTAATGTCGCCATAAAATGCCACTTAAGTTTTAGTCCATTCACAGTAGCCAATAATCAAAGTTATCTTGTAATTTTCAGAAATATTCAATTATAACAAATGATTTTGTCCAAATTTCTTATTGTTTAATCTCAGTAACTGACCTATTCAGAAAAGAGGTGTTTGGTCAAACTCTAGAATGCTTTTTGGATTAGGAAAAAAATGAACAAACATAAGATGCATATTGAATTAATGGTGTTGATGAGTTTAACCATCCAAAACATCTCAAGAATGTGGCATTGCACCAAAGAAAGCTTGAAATCTTTAACCACATATTTAGTTCAATATTTCAGTTGAAGGCATCTGTGCAAGCTACAAGATCTTAAAAGGATTTTTTATAGTAAAATTTGGGTCGAAAGGGGATTACATAAGGCCTTGCTGGTTCTACTAAAATCTTAGTGCTAAAGCCATGTGGGAAAAGTATAGAAGACTTTAGTGTGCTTCAAATCTAGTGTTCACAATACTGGACAATTCTTTTTTCATTACCATTATATAGTTGTACAAAGGAGTTGCTATTCAACAAAGCAGTTTATGAATACAATGCATCTTGGTCAACTTCACCTTTTTGAACATTCTCAGTTCCCCCGTACCCTTCCTCATTTTTTTCAATTTTGTAGAATACTGGCTAGTTCTTATTCATTCTTTTGTTTGGGGGACAAAGTGATTTGCCCAAAGTAGCACTGCTTTTAGGTAACAGTGTGGACTTTGAGGAGCAGGAGATCAGACACTCAATTTGGTATAATCAGTAAGACACCAGACCTAAACTTTGACCCACAAAGATTTAGTCAAGATCAAAATTTGAATGCCATCACATTAGAAAGTCATTTTCTCAGCAATCTGGTCCTTAACTTTATCATTTAGAGACTATTTTCCTCTGTATACTTTGTACGAATGTTTCAACCAATCCCAAATATTCTTTGCAGAAAACTCTTAGTCTTCTCTTCAAATGCTATTATGAGTCCCTCTTTGTCAGTGGTGGTTTTACCTCCTGTGGTTTCTGTTTCCTACTAGCAGTCAAAGTCCAAAATCCTAAGATGAAGAATTAAAAAGAAAAGTAAGGATAACTTTTAAATTCTGTGCCACCCTGAGTGGCATGGTGAACTATTGTGCTAGCCTGCTCTATGTGTCCAAACCCTGAACGAACATCATTCCTTTGCCTCAATGTGTCCATGCCTTATATGCTACCAGCCTGTTTGTCACTCAGTAAGCATCTTGCTTATATGACTGTGGAGGTTTTACGGTGCTTATGCTTTACCAACCATCATTTGTCACTAAAGCCCAAGGGTAATGATGCTTGAATTTTTTTTACAGTATATTGATTGCTTTGTAATAATATTTGTCATTGTTAATATCTCATGCATCTTAATTATCAGTTAAACATTTTTTGTTTGTTTGTTGGGAGTGGGGCTTTAACTCTGGGTCAGCTCCTCAGCTCAAGGTGAGAGCTCTACCACTTGATCCACTTCCGGCTTTTTCTGTTCATGTGGTGCTGAGGAATCAAACCCAGGGCCTCATGTATGCAAGGCAAGCACTCTAGCACGGAGCCACCTTTCTAGCCCCGGTTATCAGTTAAACTTTATGATAGGAAAGTTTTTTTTAGGTGTGATACAGTGTGGATATCCACGAAGTATCTCAGAGTGTTTCTCTTGTAAGTGTTGACTACTGTATTTGTTTCCCCTCTGAGACGAAGTTCAAAGGATCCTCATTTAAATAAAAGAAAAGCAGCATTTTCCAAATTGCTTCTATGGAAGGAATAACTCCATCCATAGAGACATACTTAGAGTATTTCTAATTCAATCAACAGAAAGCAGTTCTCATAAGACATGGGACAGAACTGCACAACTTCTATAAACTGTTTCAGATGAGATTAACATGTTTTAATACCAATTGTAAAATGAACATCCTAATAGCTCATTGATTCTGTTTTGGAGGAGTTTTGCCTTACAGCAGGTCGAATCAAGAGTGGATCTCTCTTGTCCCACCTAAAATAGCTTTCATTGAATTATGAATTGACATCTTATTCTTGGCTATAATGAAGATTGATAGAAGTAATGACCAAAATTGACTGTAGCAGCTTGGTTTTTTCCCTCCAAACTAATAAGACATAATCTTCTTGTAATGATGGTTAGAATGCTACACAACTAATTCATCTTAGAACTCAGTTAAACTTTCCTGATAGAATTGGATTTCTTTTTCTTTTTCTTTTTGGTCAGTCATGAGGCTTTAACTCAGTGCCTGGGTACTGTCCCTCAGCTCTTCAGCTCAAAGTCGAGTGTTCTACCACTTCCATGGATTTCTTCCTTTTTAAAAAAATTAAGGAGAAACCTAATTTATGATTTTTCTTTTGTATTCTTGGCTTTTTGTTTTATTTTTATTCTAATTTCCTAAGATTCTTCCGTTCATTTGGAGGCAGAATAGTTGTCCTAAATGGACTATTTCATGGTCTGTAATGTTGGGAGAAGCAATCCTATAAGGAATGGTTGCTAGGGGAAAGAGTGGCAGGATACAGATGATGCACACACAGTATGACATCAGATTCCAATTCTTCTAATGGCTTAGTCAAGCATCTGAAAAGCACATTATTTTTCTGACATATATTTGAGTAGGTAAATGCACCTGAAAAACATGATAGAAAAAATCCTTAGCCATCCATGGATCTTGATGGTGCAAAACATTTGAGGACATAATAAGACTTTGACTCTCCGTAACCATCATCTGCAGACATGATTTCTATCTCCATTCAACTGCATTAGCTTGTTAGAAAACAGGTGCAGCACTTCCATTTCATTCTTTTGCTTCTATTTTTCTCCTCCATTATCCAAGGCAAATCTGATTCCACTGGAAAAAGGTTAGGCATTAGACTTGGATTATTCCTTAATTTGAATTTTGGTCCTGCTCATTATTTGTTAGGAAAATAGTGAGAATGTCCTGGGACTTTTATTAGCCTTTTGTACACCTGTGTGGTTAATAAATAATTCTGTACCTAAAATATTTAACTAGAGCCTGACAGAGGAAATATTGTCAGAGCATGAAGTTACATTTTTTTTTTGTTCAGGACTAAAATAAAAATCTTTACACATTTTTACTTTTCAGATTGTTCCTGATGAATGTGTCTAATATGCAGGTTCTAAATAACACAGTAAAACAGATATTAAAAATGGGTTGAATGGTTAGTTTGAGTGATACTTTTGGCAATTGCTTCCTATATTATTCTCTTTATCCCTCACAATAATTTCACAAAAAAGCAGGTGAAGCTATCTGAACTTTATATATGTGGAAACTCAAGATGAACAATGGCAAATATATACATGTGTGCTAAAGTATCTAAGTCAGTATATATTCAGGCTTCTGGAACATTCATTAAAATATGAAAGAGAAGTTAAAATATATTCATAAGCTGTAATGCTACAAACACATGATTTTAGGAAAATTACCAGATTTAGAAAAATTAACAGTGAAGATGAACAAAATTGAGAGATGCATGTTTAAAGATGCTATAATTAATTACACAATTATCACTGGACAACAGAGTGTTCATTGGGGTAAAAATCTTGTCTATTTTGTAAATATGGTGGCATTCACCACTTGAACAAGACTAAGAAGAAAGTAAATCTTGGGCTTGGAGTGAGTGGCTCACACCTGTTACCTTAGCTACTCAAGAGGCTGAAAGGTGAGGGCTATGATTTGAAGCCAACCTGAACCCAAATGTCTGTGAGACTCTTATCTCCAATTAAACACCAAAAAAAGAAACCACAAGTTCAGTTCTGGCTCAAATGGTAGAGTGCTAATCTTGAGCAAAAGAGCTCAGGGAACAGTACCCAAACCCTGAGTCAAGCCCTAGAACTGGCAAAGCAAAAAAAAAGAGGTAGAAATTTCAAACTCTACTACAAAGCCATAGTAATCAAAACACCTTGTTACTGACAAAAAAAAAAATCCAGACCTCAGGACCATTGGAATAGAATTGAAAACCCAGAAATGAACCCACAAACCTATACCCATCTAATCTTTGATAAGGGAGCTAAAAAAATAAAATGGAAGAAAGACAGCCTCTTCAGTAAATGGTGCTGGCAAAATTGGTTAATCACTTGTAGAAAACTAAATCTATATCCTTATATATTACCCTGCACCAGAATCAACTCCAAATGGATCAAAGACCTCAGAGTCAAAGCAGACACCCTGAAAACATTACAGGAAGAAATAGGAGAAACCCTAGGTCTCCTGGCACTGGCTGAAATTTTCTTAATAGAGACCCAGAAACAAGAAATCAAAGACAGGTTGGACAAATGGGATTGCATGATATTGCAGAGCTTCTGCATGGCAAAGGACATAACTAGCAAGATCAATAGAAAGCCCACAGATCGGGAAAAGACCTTCACTAGCCATACGACTGACAAGGTCTCATATTTAGAA